CCACTCCCCCACTCCCTCCCACCCCTGAGCCACCAGCTTTGGCCACTCACTGGACCCTAGACTTTGACCTGTCTCTCCCAACCAGGCCTGGGCAGTTGATGGTTTTGGCGAAGTATCTTAAGGTAGCTGGACCGCCCCCTCTTCCCCACATACCTCTGTTGTCCCCCCACACCACCACCACCCTGGCTCCCCTTCCTCATGACCGCCTGGATCCTCCTTCCTGTCAGCCTGTCAGCATTCTCCATCACTGGCCTATGGACTGTGTGAGTAAAGAGAGAGGGGTAAGACAACTAGGGAACAAAATGGGCCCAGGCTGAGGAAGGACAGGACCCAGCTAGGACCCAACAGGAGCTTGATGGCACACAAAGTCCCTTGTCCTGTTGCAGGCCCCAGGGTGATACCAGGGTCACTCTGGCTGTCTCCAAAGGCTGGCCTGGTGCCTGGGCACACAGCCCCTTAGGACAAGCTGGCACCACTGCTGTCCAACAGGTTGGCCCTGACAGACATACTTTAAGCCATGGCAACTTCCAGAGGTCCCTTAGTTTAGGGCCGTTGCTGTGGGTTCTGGCGTAGCATCAGGCCTCAGGGCCACCCCAAGTTGAATCCCTAGCAAAGACAGTAAAGCTGAATGGGGCGAGAATCAAGAGAAGAGAAGCTTAGGACAAGCTGGCACCACTGCTGTCCAACAGGTTGGCCCTGACAGACATACTTCAAGCCATGGCAACTTCCAGAGGTCCCTTAGTTTAGGGCCGTTGCTGTGGGTTCTGGCGTAGCATCAGGCCTCAGGGCCACCCCAAGTTGAATCCCTAGCAAAGACAGTAAAGCTGAATGGGGCGAGAATCAAGAGAGAAGAGAAGAATCAGTGAGAGAAGGCCGGGCTGGGAAGGTCATGGGTGTGGGGTGACAGTTCTGCTCCCACAGGTATGCCATGGCCGTGATGAACCACCACGTGTGCCCCGTGGAGAACTGGTATGGCGCACTCTGCAGACAGCTTCACTCTAAAGCTCCCTTCATCTCTGTTCCCTCTTGGGCCGGGGCTGCTGCGAGACAGACGGAGACCCTGGGCCTCACTGCTCTTCTCTGACATAGGCACGCCTGCCTCTCCCCAGGCATGGCTTTGTGCCCACTTACCTGCTTACACCATCCCTTTACCCCTTTGGCTTCTGTCTCAGGCAGGCTCTGGGAAGTGGTCTCTTCTGCCCCTGATAAGGGAGGTCTGGGAGAGTGGTCTCTGAGAGGCCTGAGGTACAGGCCAAGGGGTTAGGGGAACCCCTTTCTCCTAGTCTACACTCTGTCCTGCCCACCAGGTCCTACAACGATTCCTGCTCTCCTGACCCTGCTGGGCAAGGGGGCTCCAAGACCTGCTGCACCCTGGACGATGTCCCCCTCATCAGGTAAGGCCTGGAAACTAGGCAGGTCAGAGATACCCAAGGCCCTGATAAACTCCCAGCCAAGCTCCTCAAGTAAAAGGCCTGTCCCAAAGGGTCTCACAAGAATAATAATTATATTGAGATCACTTAATAACAGTACTAGTTGCCAATTAGTATGTGCCAGGCACTGCACTGAACATGCATAACTTCATTCAATCCTCCCAGCATTGAGGAAGCTATTGTTTTCACCATTTTATAGGCAAGGAAACTGAGACTGAGTTATGTCATCCATTCAGGTCACACAGCTATTAAGTGGAGACACCTGGATTTAAGCGCAGGCCCTCTGATCACCCAGCCCAAGTTCTGGCTCAAAGAAAGCTAGACCGGCTACAGGCCTTGACAGTCGCAGGGAGTCCAAGGAGTCTCAGAGTCTGCCAAGCAATCCTGGGCACTCCCTAACCTGTCACACGCATGAGCTCTGCTTTAGTGCCGGGGGGAAGGAGGGGGAGGGGCACCAGCCTGGGGCCAGTTGTTTGTGCGAGACACTGGCCGAGACACTGGCCGTTCTCATAAATCAGTGGCTTAAATCAGGCACAAATAAAGCAAGAGAGCAAATGGGCCAGAGTAGGGGCCCTCTGGTGCTCCTGCTCTCTCTCATTCTGTCCTTGTCCCCCTCCCCTCAGCAAGTGCGGCACATATCCCCCAGAGAGTTGCCTCTTCAGCCTCATTGGCAATGTGGGTGCTTTCATGGGTGAGTTGTATGCTTAGCCTCCCTAGCCAGTCCAGTCCAGCCCACCCCCCTAGAAGGCCCAGGAAGCTCTTGCTTATCACAGCCCACCCTACAAAAGGCAAGAGGGGCCACTTCTCTCCCTGTTCCTTGAAAGCCAAAGGCTGATTCCCATATGGCCACCCTGCTGGCCAAAGCCTGATGAAACCATTCACCACCCACCCATCTATTTCCCTCTAGCCCTCAGTGTCTGGGGGCGGTGGGAGCTGGCATGTTCCTGGACTGGGCTGGGCCAGAGGAAGGCACCAGTGCTGGCCCCACCGATGCTCTCCTCCCCAGTGGCTCTGATCTGCCTCCTGCTCTACGGGCAGCTCCTGGAGCAGAGTCGTCATTCCTGGATTAACACCACAACATTCATCACAGGCTGCACCAATGCTGCAGGCCTTGTGGTGGTCGGAAACTTCCAGGTATGCCCTCCTACCCATCTTTTGAACTTTCCCTAACAAGGCCTGGCTCTCATGAGGGTTGACCCAGGCTGCAGGGGCAGCCCCTCAAGGTTGTAGGTGGAGGAAGGAGGGCCTAGGATTGAAAAGGGGTAAAGAAGAGAGAAAGAACAGAGAGGAGGTACGAAGTTGAGGTGGAGGGGTAGGGCTGCTTCACTGATCAGCCCTTCCCTGGGCCCAGGTGGATCATGCTAAGTCTCTGCACTACATCGGAGCTTGTGTGGCCTTACCCGCCGGGCTGCTGTTTGTCTGCCTGTACTGTGTCCTCTCCTACCACAGTGCCACCGCCCCCCAGGACCTGGCTATGGCCTACTTGCGGATTGTGCTGGCAGCCATCGCCTTTGTCACCCTGATCCTCAGTATCCTTCCAGGATAGGGCAGCCAGGAATTCATCCTCTAGCCCAACCCTTCTCTCACCCAAGATGGGGAAGGGTGGGGGTCACATTCTAGATAACACTGCCCAGTGTGACCTTCTGCTCCCACTCCCCAGAGGTGAGGCCTGGTCCCTTGCCCCATCTTAGTTCTGTATCTGGGAAGGCAAAAAGAGGGTTGCCAGGCTCCCACCCATCCTACTGAACATTTCCTTAGCCGCATTCCAGGTGGGGTCTTCTTCATCCATGAGAGTCCTCAGCTGCAACACGGGGCAGCCCTGTGCGAATGGGTGTTTGTCATCGACATTCTCATTTTTTTTGGCACCTTCTGCTATGAGTTTGGGGCAGTCTCCTCAGAGACACTAGTGGCTGCACTGCAACCTACCCCTGGCAGGGCTTGCAAGTCCTCTGGGAGCAGTAGCACCTCTACTCACCTCAACTGTGCCCCTGAGAGCATTGCCATGATCTGAGGTCTGGGAAGGGTGGTTGGCACAGCCTCCACTGCTCCCCACCCTATGTCTCCTTTGCATTTATTTTGTACCAAAAATTTTTTTGAGAAAATGTTCTGTTGGGATATAGGCTTCCTCACTCCTGGAGCAGGGGCCATCCCACACCCACCTGTGCCATAGAGGAACAGGCCCTGGCAGCTGCCTGAGCTGCACATGCCCTGCTCCCCACTCTGCAGTGTTATTAATGTTTAAAGGTCACATATCCTCAGTCACCCAGCCAGCCCTTCAGGTGCCTTTTATTCCCCAGTGCCAAGGCCAGGCCACTGGGGTTTCCTGCTGCAGGAATTGGGGGCTGGGAACAGCAAGAGGGATAGAAGCGGGGGGTGAACACTCCTTAGTCTGTGGGAAGGCCCACTTTAGGGCTCACTGAACTGCACTGGGATTCTTCACTCTGCCTCTTTTGTTCTTTAGGGCAAATAACACAGCAGAACCACATGGGTATTTTAGTACTTTTTTTATATATACATATATGTCTATTAAAAGAATTCTAATTTGCATGTTTGTAGTATGTTCTGGAGAGTCACAGAAGGCCTGATTCAGGCCAGCTTTCCCTA